GCATCCAGACACTATATGTCCATTTTGCGGCCATGGGCGCTATACTGAATGCATGGTCTTTTGTGGTGACCGTTCTTCCTTCATTTTGGCCTGCAATCGACATGCCATTTGTTGGGGGTGTATGGTGGGCATGCTCAACGCCAGCCGTCGTGGCAATTGTTGCACTTAGAATGCTCAGCTAGGTCTTCCATGTGTTCATCCACCTCATCCTTAACAATGTATGTCCTCTCTGTCGTCAAGGACAGACTCATTCTTGAGCCTCCTCACTCAGTACTTTCCCTTACTTTCCCTTTACTGTTCTTTGTTCGTCTGTTCTCCATCTCTCCTCCCTGTGTTTATCCCCCCCCTCTCTCCCTCTTCACTCGGCGTCTTTCTCACAGCGTACATTGTCATGTGGACTGTTATAGTACACGGGGATGGGGGAAGCTCGTGCTCAACTTCATCAACGTGGCGAGCCTTGCACGTGAGAAGCACGGTGAAGGGGGAGTTAAAAGAAGAATGAGAAAAATGAATGGTTTCAGTGTGCCCCTCATGTTTGTCTTGTTTTTTAATTTGTTGTTTCTGCCGTTTGTTTCGCAGCAAAGTGCGCTCTTTTAGTTCATAGATATGTGACAATGTATATGACACTAACAAAGTTAAACAAACCGTTTTGTTGTACGGATTGCAGTGTCCGCAGACATGGGCCATGCATTGCACCCAAATTATCCGGACAAGCATGCAGAAAATCACCAGCCAAAGTTAAATGAGGGCCTCATCATCAAGCACAATGTCAACCAAAGATACGCAACGACTGTGGTCACGTCGTTTCTTTTCCGAGAGATTGCTCGTTTGAACAACATTCCATTTCAAGTACGTATAAGTATAATTCTGTAGGCCTTGTAAGTTTATAACAAAATAAAAAACATTTTCAGTGCATCGTAGGCAGACAGGGACAAAATACAATTGTGGTTTGTGACAGATGGAGAGAGACACTTTCATCGAACTTTCACCGGCTCATCGGGAGGCTAAACCCTTAACAGTCTGTGTATTGAAAATCTTAGAAAACCAAAAAAAAAAAAAACCTTAGAAAACCCATAAGTTCCCAAGAGAGTCCCCTACCGATGCGTCAAGCCGTAATCTGCCTTGGTTCAAAATCAAAGCAGACTACCACTCAGGGCATACTCACCGGGGGACCAAAAGTCTCAAAAATTTGAGGCATTTGGTTTGGGTCTTTTTGATGCATTTGGTCCCCGCGTGGTCACACGGGCGCACCTAGTCCAGAAAGGACAAAGTCGCAACCCTGACACTTTGCACTCAGGGCAAGTGCGCCCGGTCACACGGGGGAGGACCAAACAACAAGATGGAATTTTTTTTAGTTTTTTGTTTCACGCCACTAGAACGGGTGAGGCTTCGCTACAACGTGGATGTTCCTGGTCGCACTTTCAGGTGTTTGGCGGGCTGTCTTATTCGTCTACGATTCTCTTCAATTTGCGAACATAGAAAAAGAAAACGAAAGGTAATTTGAGACGACCTCCGGAGGTGGTCTCAAAAAGGGTCCGCCCGCGGCCCCGCTGGCCGCTGACAGAAGGGTCACCGTTTGAGGCATTTGGGTAGCGAGCCTCTCCAGTGTGACCCGAAAAATGACTCAAATTTTGGGATTTTGGGTCTTTTGGTCCTCGTGTGAGTATGCCCTCAGTCACTCACTCACTTTTCACAGCCAGGGAAAAAAAAAAAAAAAACCAGGAAAATCCCCAAGAAACGAAGGATGGGTTTGTCATTGGCAGAAAATACAGTCCATGTATGTCGTCGTTTTTTTTTTTTTTTTTTTTTTTTTTTGAAAGCAAGCTATATTCTTCTCTCAATTTCACCTTTCACTACAGGTAGCATTTAGTATTTTTCTTACGATGCTGAGATATTACTTGTGTATTTAGTGTTTTTAGCTAGGAAGATTTTCATGACCGGCCGGTCACCCGGGCGTGATGTGAGGGGGGGTCTGAGGCCCGGGATACCCGGGTATGGGGAAAAAGTATTAAAAAAAAATAAAAAAAATCGGCGGTGGGCTAGGCTACCAGAGTGGCCCGGGGTCACTTGCCCGGCCGGGCCAAAAAAAATTAAAATAATAAAAATAAAATAAATTATTAAATTTTAATTTTTATTCTAAATTTGGTGAAGAATTTCGATGTGACGCTGAGGCAAAAGTTGTTCAGTTTATTTTTCTGCATAACATAGTTTTCTTTGGGATTTTATCATTTTTTGGATTTTTTTTTTTTTTTTTTTTTTGCTGGTGCCTTTCCTGGTCCTTGCACGGGCTGGCCACCGGGGACCCAGGCGGCCCGGCTGGTAGCCTAGGCGGTGGGGTTTTTCCGCGCTCTCCGAGAGCAGCCCACATCTGGGCTCTTTTCTTTTTTTGAGAGTTGGCTGTGAAGGGGGGTTAAGGGGAGTACAAATGAATTTTAAAGGGGCTAAAGGGGTTTAAAGGGGGGTGCCTTAGTATGATTTGGTTATTTGTTTTTTTATCTTCAGTTCGGTAAGGAATTCTGATGTGACCCTCAGCCAAAAGTTGTTTGTATTGCAATTCTACACAACATTTTGTTTTTTCAGATTTTTTTTGGATATTTTGGATTTTCATTTATTTATTTTTTTTGTCGCTGGGGCTGCCCGGGCCCGTGCTCGGGGGTCATGGCCGGCCAATCACCGGGTCGCCAAACCGGGCGTGACGTCGGGACCCGGGCGCCCGGGATATCTCCCTAGGTTTTTGGTACTCTTTACTATGCTGAGATACGACTTGCGGATTTATTATTCTTACTTTTCTAGGCTACTTGGCTCGCCGGATCATCCAGCCCAGGCAAGTCAACTGGGGTCACCTGCATGGGCACCCCGTGCAGGCAAAAATCAGCCCTTTTTTTTTTTTGGGGGGGGGGGGGTGGAGGCTTTCTGTACATGGACGGAGGAGCCCAAATCCGGGCTCCTGTCTTTTTTCAAGTGTTGGCTGTCAAGGGGGGGTAAGGGGGGTATAAATTGGTTTTTGAGGGACTAAAGGGGTATAAACGGGGGTGCCGTAGTCTGGTTCTGTTGTTTTCATTTCGGTCTTCCATTCCGTGAGGACTTCTAAGGTGACCCTCAGCCAGAAGTCGTTTGTAACTCTGTATTGCAATTCTAGAGAATACTTTTTTTCTCCGGACTTTTTTTTTGTATTTTTTTTTGGGCGCTGGGTGCCGGAAACCCTGCCCGGGGTTCATCACCGGCCGGACACCCGGGCTTGTATCCTGGCGCAGGCGGGTTAGCTGGGCGCCCGGACAAACGGCGTAGCTAATTTTGGTATTTTTTTACTACATTGAGATACTACTTTCACATACAACATCTATGTCCAGAAGCAACAGGAGTCTTCTGTTGAAGAAAAATAAACTTAATGAAGTAATAATTTAATAAATTATAAAAAATACCCACTCCATTACTTATAGGATCTAAGCTTCTTCTTGTTCTGCTTTCTCCATGGTTAAAGGGCCAGTACATCCGACCCTCTTTTTGCTGTGGTGGATTCGCTCCGCACGCCAAGCTTTGTCAAACCGCCAGCGGCACACTTTCTTTTCTTTTTTGGCTGGCGTTGCCAGCCATTGTGGTCTAGTAGCCCTGACTGAGGCTCCAAAAAATTTCAAATCGGCTCGATGGCGGCTTAAGCCAGACCTGGACACGAGGCCAGATTGGCAAAGATATGAACCTGGACATGAGGCAAGTCTTTGTTGTGGAGGATTGGACGTGGAGGATTGGACGGACCATTACAATCCTCCACCATTCGTCTCCCCTTTCTACCCACCACCACCCTTGCCCTTCCAGCCCCTCTCCCGTCTCCTCGGCCCCGTCTTTGTTGTGAAGTTGGTGAGCAATTTGTCTCGACCCTCCGCCAAGAGGTCTAAAGTTGTTTGGCTTGCAAATAACGTAAATTCATTTTCGTGAATTTCTGCTGTCTTTATATTTATTATTTAGCATCATAACCACTAATAAAAATAGACCAGCAACTAAAAAAATCATAGCAAAAAAATCAAGACCTAATAACACAACTAAACCTGAAGTATTACAAAATACTAAAATGAGAAATAAAATGGAATGAAGTTCAATAAACTGGGTTTCTAGCACGTATAACCGTATAAAATGAGAAACTAAAGCGATGCTTGAAAAAATAGAAAAAAAGTATCGTTGTAGTGATTCATCTCGAATTAGTGCTGATTGGCCGGACCGTGATACGCAATCGGTCATGACCGAGATCGGGAACGCAACGTCCGACCACGAAATTGCGTTGGCTATTCTATACCAGAAAGCTTTAAATTTGTGTCGGATTCGTTACCCTCACCAGGTTCGGCATCGTCTCCCCTACGCAATCGGACATGACCCACGACGCAACTTTCTACCGTGGACATAGTTTTCTTTTTGGGTTTCCAAACTTCGTTTTTTGGCTTTCAAAGAAATCTCTCAGAATTCAATATGACTGTCCTTCAGGCAAGTATGCCTGGGCCATTGGGCCCAGTCAGGTCCCGCCCTGCAATCTGAACAAGTTGGAAAGGCCCAGGAGCAAATCTGCTCAGCCTATCATAGGGAAGGAATTTGGAAGTGACCCTCAGGCGATTCTGCACAAGATGCCTTTTTCCTTCACAGGTTTTAAATTTTTCTTCTTTTTTTTTCAATCGTTTTTTTGGGAGAAAATTTGGAAAGTACATGTTTTGCATGCTACTGCACATGTCGTTGTTGTCCCACTCAGTGTAAACCCAGACAGAAAGTCCAGAGCGTCATGCATGTCAACCAGTCCATGTTGATGATCGATTCCATATGTTTGCCATCCATCTATTCGTGTCATGCGATCCCTGCCCAAATGATGTCGCCACAATGCCAATCACGCAGCCATAATTAATTACAGACCCACAACAACGCCAGTGTGATGGCTCCTCCGCTGCCAAATCTTCGTCCTTTTCCTCCTCGTTTCCCTCCTCTTCCTCGTCCTCGTCCTCCCCCTCCTCTTCCTCCTTTTGCTCCTTCCACCAAGTTTTCTTTTTGCACATCTGTGCGATGTCCAGTGCAGTGCTCTCACTCGTTAACCACCCCCCCTCCCTTTGCCCACACATATGCACATCAGCGGCATTTGCAGTCCCAAACAACTGCCGCCGCGTTTTCTCCTCTTCTTCTCTCCTCCTCCTCCTCCTCCTCCTCTTCCTCTCCTGGTCCTCCTCCGACCAACCCCATTTTCCTTCTCCACAGCTGTGCGATGTCCATGACAATGCTCTCAATACTGTGCATAACCGCTTGCCCACAGCTCCTTTACATCACCGGCATATGCCAATCCCACAAAATGGGACCGGGACCAGAGAACTGTCCCAGAAGCCACATCGATGTCCGTCCAGTCCCACACAATGGGAACCAGAGCACTGTCCCAGTAGTCAGATTGATGTCGGTGTCTGTCGGGCGGCACTTGCAGGAGCCAGCGGTTGATATCAGTCCAGCCTTGATTTGATTCACCAAAAAAGTCAAGAAAATAATATTCACTGTCCTTTGAGACGTCCGTCACAATTGGAACAATACAGAGAAGAGCAAGTAGCAACTGACCCCTGATCAAGACTCACTGAATGTGCAAAATGAGAATGAATCTCCTGCCAGAACGAGGAAAGATACGCCTCCTAGGCTCTTGTTTGCATGGCCCCTGAGCAAGGATGGCGAATAAGCCAAAGAAGTCACTGCTTGGCGAATAAGCCAAAGAAGTCACTGCTGCTTGTCTTTTCCTTTTTCTTTTTTTCTTTTTTTATTCTTGTGTGTGTGTGTGTGTGTGTGTGTGTGTGTGTGTGTGTGTGTGTGTGTGTGTGTGTGTGTGTGTGTTTCCCTTTTTGGTCTCTCGTTGACGCGTGCTTCTTTGTGCACGACCGCGTCTCTTTTCGGCTCGCTGCTTATATGAAATGTGTGGGCATGGACTCGACAGTACTTTGCTGTGCGCAATGATATGGGCTGTGGATCGACTATCGGACCTATCCTTTCTTCAGGAATCGGAATACGCACTGTCGATGTCGGGCTGCCACAGCTGTCCATGCACAGGTGGGCTTTATTCTTCTGGATGGTCACCCTTTCACCCCACCTCTGTTTATTTTCCTCCCTTTTGCCTTTCTGCTGCCGTTCTCGTCTCTTTTTCTTCTTCTGTTTCCCTGCCATCCCCTCTTACACCCTGACAATCTCATCTGCAATCTGGAAGGGGTCCATCCATCTGTGCAACTCAGATTTTATTCTTCCAAATCCATACATAGACAAAACTCCTGCCTAGTGGATGGGTCATCCCAGGGGCAAATTAATCATTTGCCCCCCCCCACCCCGTCCCCCCACCCCTCCACGACACCTTTTTTATTTCACATCCCGTCTTTGAGTTCCATTCTGTTCCTCTCTCCCTTCATAATAACTGTGTATTATTAATGTATTGTTGATGGGTGTGCTATTGCTATTAATGTGCTATTGCTGAATGTGCTATTGCTGAATGTGCTATTCCTGAATGTGCTATTGCTGAATGTGCTATTATTGATGGACGCTTGCCGTTGCTGAACTTGCTGAATGTGCTACTGATGAAGCAAGCAGGGTATCGATGGGCCCTTGTGGACGCTTCCCGTTGCGCAACTTGCTCAATGTGCTATTGATGAATGTGCTATTGCTGAATTGGCTATTGCTGAATGTGCTATTGCTGAATGTGCTATTGCTGAATGTGCTATTGCTTTAGTTGTTAATGTATTGATGAACTCTTTCTGTTGATGAACTTGTGCTATTGATGAATGTGCTATTGAGTAATGTGCTACTGATGGATCTGATAACCGAATGCTTGCTTACTTGATCCTGTACGCAAGCATAACGAGCAAGCCTGTACCAGCTTTTTTATTTCTGAGAAGTTGAGAACCAAGTTCTCTCATCTCACATTCAGTTACTTGAGATTCACAGTTTGAAATTTTTGTGAGCTTTGCAGTTGTTTGAGCTTTTTTGAGCTTTCAAAAAAGTTGTAAACACCTAATCCCCTTTGTTTGTCGTGGTTGGATTGGATGTCTTCTTCTTCTTCTTCTTCTTCTTCTTCTTCTTCTTCTTCTTCTTCTTCTTCTTCTTCTTCTTCTTCTTCTTCTTCTTCTTATGGTGTCCTGACCTGGTCTATGTGCAGCGTACGAGAGATGATGGGTACGGCGGATGTTGACATTTCCTATGATCATTTCAAAGCCTTTTTCAAAACTTTCAACAGCATCGACGAGAAGCTCAAGGTCGACGGTTGAGAACTGATAATGGCCACAGCGGTTCTATAGCCACGCTATTGTCTATCGGTTGATTGTGTCCCTGATGAGAGAGAAAGCCATCCTAGTTTCATTGATTTTGGACTCATTTCTAATTGCCGGACAATTTTCCACTTTTCATCACAACCCAAGACTGGTTGCCAGGTAGGGGTCCTCTCTCTCTCTCCCTCTCTCTCTCTCTCTCTCTCTCTCTCTCTCTCTCTCTCTCTCTCTCTCTCTCT